GTGTGTGTGTGTGTGTGTGTGTGTGTGTGTGTGTGTGTATTTACCAGCTTTGTCATTTTCAACAGTGCCTTAAATTTAAACGTGTATAAAGCTCTCAAAACGTATGTTAGCTGAAGCTAACTTCATCAGGCAATGTTAAAAAATGGACAAATACAAGAGAACCATTCACTGAAGTGTGTAGTCTTTTTATTTTTCCACTAGGTGGCAGTGATTCGTTAAATTGAGTGCCCTCAAATGGCCCCACTACATTTAGAAGAAGATGTGCTTTTTGAGGGCCATTTGTAGAGATGCATCTATGCTTTCCAATATTGTTTTAAAGCATAATGTGAACGCAGATATATGTTGATGAAAAAAAATCGAAATTATTGAAATTTTCATACATTTTACATATTATACTACAAGATAAATTAAATAGACGTGAGATTCCACTGTGAGTTGCAGTGGACCAACTGAAAAACTATATTACACCAAGGATTCATGACACTGTTTTATTCTTTTCCCCCCAAATGTCCACTTGTTCAACCAAAAAAAGTACAATGAATAAAACCATAGGGATAGATTTGAAGGTCAAAGACCTTTCCGAGTGGATGGAGATGATTGTCCAGGCCCACAGCTGTGGTATTCACAGTAAGCCATCATAGTGTATGTGGCCCTGAGCCAGGCATTGTTCATTCACAGCTCACAGTTTTCATCTGAACACTGAGGCTGTTTACTGTCTCTGGGATAAACGCAAGGAATGTATGGCAGAGTTTACTAAATAATGTCACTATGCCACCACCTCCCTCGGAAAGCCCGGATCACATGATCGCAGAGGCTTCTGCCTCTTCAACGCACCCAGTGTTATTTGCAGGACTCTGAAAAGCCATATTGACATTGAGCCTTTTATTATGGGTTTCCGTCCTGATCCTTACCAAGAGCAAACTGTGTCCAATATCTTTATATCTAGTACAGAAGTGTATAGGCTGTACTTAATTGGAAGTGAAAGTGATTTAGCGTAAATGCACATGAATATCATAAACAAGAAATGTACAAACAAATGCCACTGATGTATCACCTCTAGCATGTTCTACTCATGTAACGTTCACTGACAAGTGTATTTTATGTTCAAATAATAAAGAAAAAAGATAATCGTAAACCTATTTTTCCTGTTTTTATCAGCTGTTTGAAATCTTATTTTGACGGCACCCATTCACTGCAGAGTATCTATTGCTGACCAAGTCATGTACTGCTAAATTTCTCCAAATCTGATCAGACGAAAAATAATAATAATAATAAAAATAATAATAATAATCTACATCTTGGAGGGCCTGAGAGTGAGTTTAATTTTTTGGGTGAACTATCCCTTTAACTACATTCAATTTAAATTCCCAGATATGTTCGATTTTCACCCAGAGACACTGGCTCAGCATACAGCAAGCATTTTGGAGAATGCATGCATGGACATTAGAGTTTTTGTTTCTAAAACATGCTCATTCAATTTAGAAAGTATGTATCAATATTTAATAATTAAGCTATAAATATGGTTTGGAAATATATCAGCAATTCCAAGAA